CCCCAAATTTTGGACATGGTTCAGTGTATCAAGATTTAGAGGCTCAGGTGGCCATAGTTACAGTTGACCAAGAACTAAGTTACGCCCTTCATGGGGAGAAGACTCAACTCTACAACTGAGTCCAGAAGGTCACCTGTGAGACATTTGAATGATGTGAACATAAATTACCTGTCTGGGTATATTTTGTGACCAGATTAATAAAGAATCTTCTGTAACACTGGTCTCCTTATTTTGGTTTGCACAAAACAAATCCGTTTTTAAAAATGATGAAGGACTCAGCATGTAGTCATGAATGTATGTAGTAGAGTACTATTGGCATAAAAGAATATATAGAACTTCTTTGGTGCACTGCAAACCTTTAAATATAATTTGTTGGGTAAGTAAGAAACCTATTTTTGGGTTTGCAGACATAAAGTTGGTTTTATTAATTAATGAAGGAGTTTGGTTTGATGTGGTTTTAAGTTTTCAGTGCCGTTAACATTGGGAATGCAGTGCATGTGAGAAATTAACCCAGATTCAGCTGTCTTTGCAGTCTAGGTGTAGTAATTTACCTGTTGTTATAATTCACACTTGAATAACAAGAATCAACTTCAGAAATTTAAGGTTTTTATTTTATTAAGACTTCTGGGAGATGCAACAAGTGCTATAATTACAGGGAAGATTGCACATAAGGTCATCTGATTCCAGTAAGATGCTCCAACCTCATACTACCTCTCCTCATTTAAGTACAAGTACTGATTTGTTTAAGCTACAAAAATCACAAACAGAACCAGATAGAGTATGCATTAAAAACAAGCACCATCTCTTTAAATCCTTGCATAGCTGTACATCTTCTCTATAAAATGTTCTAAGAACCCCTCAAGATAATTGCTCCCCAGTTTCACACACATTTATCAGATCTTTAGAACAAATATATACAGTCACAGCTATTTCTTAATTTTTGAGCCTTCAATGTGTATACTAACTATTGGATAAGCCAGCTTAACTTTTACCTAGGTCTGATCAAGTCCACAGTTAATTAACAATCTATTATTTAATGGCAGCTTTTTTCACCTTAAGTTAATTATTTATAAAAACAGATCTTTTCAGTTTCTGGATATACTTAATATAAGTTTAACTCTTGCTATATTTTTAGAGCTGAAATGCAAGAACACTCATTAAACTCATTAACTCTTAGAGACCTACAGTTAAAAGAGTTGGTGCAAAGAAGAGTTTGATAAATGTAATTTTTTAAATAAATATATATCCGGTATATATGCTGTGAAGAAAACCAGTCAGTTCAGTTCTTTTTAGTCTTGAAATAAGACAGAGTGTGCAATGAGAGCTCCAAGCTGCTCATAACAGCTCTGGATTAATCAGTGAGCTCAAATTTCACTAACAAAGTATTATTCTTACAATACTGTGGCTTGTGGATCTTGTCAATTGGAGCAAAATGTTCGTAACCAGAATACTCAGAACTTATTACATTGTGTGGAGGTACTGGTCTTTGAAAGGCACTCAGTTCAGGTTTGGTTATCACAGTTTCTGTAATGTGGTACTGGAGCGACTCATCATCCGACTGATCCACAATAGATAAGGAGAAACCTTTTGAAAATGGCCATTCCAAGTGGTTGTCATAATCACCTCTCATCATATGAACATAAAGAGCCACATGTGTACCAACTCCACTCTTCACACCATTTAAATTAATCCTCAAGCACAATTTGTACCCATGTGGACTGGCATAAAAACCTGGACTGTACATGACTGGGCTTACACCACTGATGGCATCTTCGCAACACCTGTCAATGTTTTCTATCTTCCAGACATACCTTCCATTACAAAGTTGCTGTTCTTGACGTAGCAACTTCACCCTGTAATTTCAGGAATACAGAAAAATGTATACATTAAGACCCTTAATTTGAGCTTTTAAATTTACTTTTCCATGTACATGCACCGCAGTTGCAATAAGTGACTAGAACCTTAAAAGGAATTGAAAAAACTTCAAGTCATCATGATCAAGAGCTATAGTTCTTGGAAGCTAAATCCAAATGACTGGACCAAAAGAATTTAGCATATCAATTCACCCTTTGTACTACAATGCACATTCAGAATTCTTAGCCAATTTGAACACAACATGAATAAGATGAAATGCAATAAACTTTAGTTACAAATGTATCCTGATCCAGCAGCACTTGACAAGACTGACTCATTTAATTGAACAATTAACCCTTAACTCTCAGAAGTGATTTAAATGCAACTTCTCCTTACAATTCCAATCAGTTGTTTTGTAAACAGGTTATGAGGGCAAACAATCTTATCAGCTGAAGGGCTTCATTTTGGAATAAGTTCATATTCTCATGTCTAATTTACAGGGAAAAGTATGGCAGTAAGTTGGGAGAAATATCAAGTGGACCTTGGGAGTTAGAGGGTCAAAGCAAACAAAAAAGTAGACAAAGGTCACAATGCACTGATTAAAAATTATCCTGATCAGAATTTTGGTTTACAATACAGTTTTTTTTGACTGATCACAAATGTATCAAAAACATGCATGTTATAAGTTATCAGGTGAAGGTAAATTACATGGAAACTATCATAAAGGGAAATGAGGCCTACATTGAGTTGGCATAACAGGGTTTGAGTTGTCAAGGGTCCATGATTAAGTTTCCTAGAGGAGAACAAATTGAGCTTGAGCACAATTAGGTTAACTTGGGCTTGCAATGGTTGGTTCAAATTATCAGGAAAGTGTCAACTGTATTAGATTTAAATACTTTAGATAGTAACAGTTTGTCGTTGACGGGCCAATAAAGAAACCTGTTAATTGCCTTTTATTATAATCATGCAAATTCCCATATACAACCACATGACTTAAGTTTATGGATTAGATAAATTAATGTAACATTTTGTGTTTCAAGGGTATCCAAACTTGTAGTAACAGTTTACAAGGTATAATGAATAATGACAATGGGATATAGATCAATCCACTTGGTAAAAAAAGGCTTCATGTAAATATGCATTCCATCTGTCAGGGGTTGACAAGCTCACTTTGAGATTAAAGATGTACTATTTAGACTCTGAGAGTTATGGATTGCCAACATCTAGCACAATGAGACATTAAGAACAATATTTATAACAACCTTATTTTCTAAAATTAAAATTTAATTAAAAACTTAAAACTGATACAAGAAATTGGAAAAAAATATTTCCTTAACAAATTTTAAAGAAAGGAAAACTGTAGACACTTACTCAACTTCCAGTTCATCTACCCTGTCAACTGTTTCCTTCTGCTGAAGGGTTAAACAGTCAATTTCCTTGCACTGCTTATGAAGGGTTTTCTGAAGGACACCAGCTTCACTTTCCAGCCATTGGGTCCAAATTGCCTGTTTTTCAGAAGGAAACTTATTTTCATCCTCCTATTTTACCTCTGTCCCCTTTACAGCATTTGTCTGCATGACCTCCTCATGATATATGAGAAAAATTTTCATCAAATCGGTGATTTGACTCAGATGTTGTTCCATAAGGTGTTTCCCTGCACCAGATCGAAAGCCCTGAAAAAACAATTGGGAAGCGTTAGTTATTATCTAGGTATTGAACCAAAAAATTCAAATTTCAGGCCACCTGAGGTGATGGTACAGCTCAATTAGGAACAAAATAATTTATTAATGAAAAGCTTATTATAAAGTTAACACAGTCATGTCTTTTATCAGTGTCTTGAAAATGATTTGACTGTTTTCATCAATAACCTAAAATAGGGTCAATGTAATATTAAGAATAATAAATATAAGATCATAAATATTACTTCATGAAGCTATTATTATATTAATATTAAAAAGATCATAAACTTCAGTCAGGTGAATTAAGTCTTAGAAAGCAAATGGAATGGACTAGCTGCATGCCATTCTTATAACCCACACTTTGGGTACATGTAAAGAAATAATTTTGAAACTACTACTTTTAATGTTGGCCACTACACATGGGTTTTTTTTTAAATGTTAATTAATCTTAACCCACATCAAACTTGTAATTCTCCTTACCACCAAACATACATTTCTTATAATGTTAGTTCAGAGAACTTAGTATTGGATCAACTTATTATCCCCAAATTGCTATTTTTCTTTATTCTCATCATTTATCTGGTTAATATTGTATTGATATATGTAAGGAGAAATTCTGTCTTGGTCACTCGTGGGAGTTAAGGATTCAGGGATTGTCCTTTTATACAGTATCAAAACTTGTTGAGTTAGCTTTGTCAAATATATGCAGTACATGGTTCATATTTGAGATTTGTCACTTTCCTTACCTCAAATTCACAACCACCATGTTTGAATGGGCAGTCTGTCTTTACATTTGGACAATGGTGTTGTAAGTGTAACTTCATCTAATTTTGAAA